CAGGGAGACAGCTCAGGGGTCAGGGGTGCATGAAGGGATGGGCAGAGGGAAGAAGTGACTGTTGGAAGGAAGTAGAAAGGGAGCTATTGCATTGTGGTGAATTGTGGTCAATGTCATGAGACAAAGTGTATGTGAACCGCTGTATGGAAAGTGAATTTGCTCTGTAAATTTTCACCCAAATCACAATTAAAAAGAAGAAAGAAAGAAAAAAAATATAGCCAAGAAAACTCTACCACATGGGGTTGCTGTGAGTCAGAATCTACTTGATAGTACCAGATTGTTTAAAAAAATATATCATTTCATTGTCAAATCCAATGGATTTTATCTTCTTTTTGTACAACTCTGCCTTAGAACCCCAAAACCTATTAGCTGAAGAATAATTATCCCATAAGCACTCTCCTCACCTTTTGACCCTCTTTATATACTTTCCTTCATCTACTTACACTTGGTCAGCAGAAGCATCTTTATACAACAGAGCACTACACATGTCCCTCTCCTGTGTAATACTTTCCATGGTCGTTCATTATCTATAGAATTAATTCCAAACTCATTTACTTTACACTGAAGACCTTCCAGAATCTCTCTTTCTATTTCCAATATTATTTCTCATCCTCTATCACAAACCTTAAATCCCAGTAAAGTCAGTTATGTGTGGTTTTCCATGGCCTGATCTTTACCACGTTGATATTACTCATATTTCCTTCTTGATTTGAAAGCCTGTCTATACTACTCAGTATACTGATATGCTACCCTCAGACTCCAATTCAAATGCCATCTTATCCAAGGAATCTTCTGTGATATCATCAGCATTTTCACTTTTTTTTCTGTTTGCCAAGCACTTCCTTTGTGTCTTTATCATGACACTGCTAGAGTTTCTATCCATTGTTGTTGTTGTTATGTGTTGTCGAGTTGGACCCGACTCACAGTGACCGCTCCTTGGGTTTCCGAGGCAGTACACTACAAAAGTAGATTGCCCAAACTTCCTTCTGAGGAGTGGCTGGTGGATTTGAACCACCAGTCTTCT